TGGCCTCAATTTTTTCTGTAAAATATGAAGTAAGGTTTTCAGCTAACAGGGTGGGGGGGGTGGGATATGACACTTTAGGGGGGATGAAAAGGTTTGGAAGAGATGCTATGGAAAGTGTGATAATAGTTGATAATGAAGGATAAGGATTGCCTAGCGTCAGCGTGGGCCCATTTGAGGTTGTATCTGTAGTTGACCCAGACTGAAGAGTTGTGTGATTTTCTCCACCTTTGTTCATCAGTAAGTGTGTAGGAGCAAAAGTAGAAAATGGTAGAAGTGATCCAAGGCTGAAGTGTGGCAGGGCATACTTGGTGATATAAAAGGATTTGTTGAGTTTTGTTGTTTGTCCTTCATTACGAAGAGGACCAGTGACATCACACATGAATTGGATTTAAAGTGAAGCAGAGTTGCACAAAATCATCATCTTCTCTCTTCCTGAGTCATTGAAGTCCAGTCAAGACAAAAGTCAGGACAAGTGGTGATAGATGATTTTGGTGTCTTCATGTCTGACTGAGCTCTCAGCACTCCACAGCACCTGCTTCAGCAGCCTTCACAGCCATTGGAACAAATTGTTTTCATCCACCCATTCTGTCAAGGAAAGTCTTCACATGTTTGGGGTAAACATTCCCCTGACTCACCAATGGGTTTGAAGGAACTAAAGATTCAAGAGAGGAGGATAGTGTAAAGTTGATTTAGTTCACATGGGGAAAAGAGAAGAGTTGGCTAGCATATGGGAGATGGCCTAGGAGAGAATGAAGGGGCCAAGAAACTGGAATTCATGGTGTGGATGAAGAGTAAGGTTTTCTAAGAGAAGGCAGAGAGAGAGGTGAAAGCCAATAGGTTATGGTCAGATAAGGGGATTTCCAAACTCCTGAACATGTATCTGTTACATTTGTGGGTGATGGCATGATCCAAGGCATGGCCATCTTTGTGTGTGGCTGACACGGGGTAGAGGAGTAGCTCACAGGAGGTGAGTAGGTTGAGGAACTGAATCATTAGAGTATTTGAGGGAGAGTCATTATGAATGTTGAAATCTCCTAGTATGGGGGCAGGAGTTGGGGAGGAGAGAAAATTGTAAGCCATATATCAAACTCATTGAGGAAAGAAGGGGAGTGACCTAAGGGTCTGTAGACAACAGCTACCAGGATTTGATTGAGTGGTAGATATGAATAGCATGGATCTCAAAGGAAGAAAGGTTACTGAGTGATGGAGGTAGCAGAAAAACTTGGAAATAGCAACAGGAAATAACTGCCTCGCTTCAGCCAATGAGCAGAGAAGAATGATTGAAGGTAAAGGCAGGTCTGGAAAAGGTGGCTAGGAAGTCTGTGTCATCTGAGGGGAGTCAGTAGACAGTAGTAGATGGAAGGAGTGGGAGAGGAAAAGATTTAGGATGAAGGGAAGTTTGTTCCCTATAGCATTCCAGAGAGCACAGTGATGGGTGGTGTTTGGTTGAAACTTTGGGGTGGGAGGGTTGAGGGGGATGGAAATAAATAAGGTGGTAAGGGATGGGGGGAACAGTCTTTGGATGTTGATCTACAGGAGTTCAGAATCACTGAGATGAGAAAGATACAAGAGGTACCTATACATGGTACCTTTATACAAGAGGTATAGAATATTCATCTTTGAATGGAGGGTGTTATTCCTCTTCCCAGCAGAGCTTGGATATCTGGCTGGAGGCAAATACAGCATGAGATGGGAAGTCCTGCTTCACTACTCCTCGTCCCTCTGAAGGGTGGAGATTAGGGAGGAAAAGGGCTTGGCAGGAGAAGGAAATCCTCCCCACCAACTTTCCTCTTCCTCTTCCCTCAAGGTACAGGCACAGCAGAAGAAAGGCCTAAGATCAAAGGATACATACTCCTCTTTGCACTATTGGTTCTCCACATCCCATTTGGGAGATTGGAATGGTAGCAGAAGGCGGGAGTTGCTTTTGCTGGCATGGATGGAAGTGGTTGCTTTGGGACAAATGCAAGACAACCAGCCTGACCCATTGCCATCTTCCCTCAGGACAAGCTTCGCCCAGCAGGAGACAGAAGCACCAGGCAAGGTCAGAGGAACACTTGGCGTATCTTTTTTGTAGTTTTACAGCTTGAAGGGACCAGAAAGGTCATCTAGTCCAACCCTTCCTCATTTTATAAATGAGTAAACTGAGGCCCAGAGAGGTAAGTGAAATAATAGTGTTCATGGAAAACATGGAAACAAGCACTGCACTTGCTCATACAAGCTAGTTACTAACTCATTATTAGTACCTCTCAAATAATTCCCCAGACACCATAATTTTGTACATACTAATGGCATACCATCTTCACACTGGTGGAAGCCCTTCCTGTGATTGGCTGGGGTGGGGGGTTGGGGGGAAAGCAGGAAGAGCATGGTTAGAAAATACCTTTCCGAGAGGAAATATACAAAGGAAAGGAGAGATGATGGCGTTTGGGACCAGTTTGCTTGGTCTAATTTATGTAAACTGTCTCTTGGGTGATTTATCCATGCCAGGATTCCAACAAACTATCTTTATTCCTTTAAGTTTCCATCAATGTATTGTCCCTTCTGAGTCCCAGTAATTGCATGCAACTATAGTTTTTTAAGTAAGTCTATCACAGTGGTTTTTCACAGTCATAAGGCAGCCACATGGAGGTGTACTCAGCTCTGCCTGGTAGGTGACCAAGGCTTCAAATGGAATCACAAGGGCCTGAATTAGTCAGACAGTGAGTCTAAAAATATTCAGATGTACTATTTGTTGGTTTTTTTCTTTATAACATCCTCTTCTGTTAAATGGTAGAAGCAAAATCTAATTGGCAGGAAATTTGAAATGTGAAGGGACCCAAAAGATCTCCTATTCCAGCCACCTTATTTTACAAATAAGAAAACTGAGGCCCAGCAAGACCAAGTGACTTATTCAGTATCTCAAGGGGGAGGAGGGAGAGAGGGCATAGTTTGGGTCTGTTGGGTAGGGGTCTTTTTTAAGTAGAGCTGGCACTAACACCTAGGTCTCCTGGGTCCATCCATTGTCTTGTTCCACCATACTACATGATTTGTACAGCAGAGGTGTCAAATTCCAGCCAGCAAAATTTCCTAGTGCTACAGCAGGAACCAGATTAAAATGTAATGGGGAAATGTTTAACAAAATATACAGTACAACATAGATAATGCTAATTTGTGATTTTCTAAGTCAATACGAACCTTGCAGCGATCTTTGACATCACTATTCCACAGAATGTTAGGGTGCCAGATTCCTTGAGTGCAGCAACCATTTCATTTTTGTCTTTGTAGCCTCCTAAAGCAGGATGGTGGTACACAGAGAATTGGCCTCAGAGCTAGGAAGACCTGAATTCAAGTCCTACCCCAATCCACACCATCACCCTAGACAATTAATTTAACCCCTCGGTGGCCTAGGCAACTAAGTCTACAAGGTATCACAAAAGTGCTGACCTGCATTGGCAGACGGTTTCCTCATCTGTAAGTTCCCAATATCAATAAAATCACAGGACCAGCCCCAATCTCTTTGTAGCTCCAGTGCCTTGCACACAGTAGTCACTTAGTAAATGCTTGTTAGATTGAATTGGAACTGCAGTAACTACCTATCACTGATAGATTTACATGTCTTGAAATTCACAACTGTATCCAATGAGCACCAATACAGCATGCCCTGAACCCATCCAGGCCCCTTCTAACATAACTACATCAACCCTCCCATTTTACATGAAGGAACTGACACCTGGAGAGATTGCCAAAGGTCACAAATGTATTGACTGAGCAAGGATTCAAATTCAGGTGATTTCAACACTTTCTAATCCACTAACATGCCTCAAGAGTTCTGATAACACCAAATTCTTCTCAGATTTCTTAAGCAGTATCTCAACATCTCTCATCAAGTACCTCAGGACCCTCTGCCAAAGGATCCCCCGTGCCAGCTATTCTCTAGTGCAGGCCTATTTCATTTGACAGATGGATTATAATACCAATTGACTGCAAAAATAATGAGAGCTTACATTTGCACAATGTTACCTCAGTATATTTAAGCAGTTATGTCAATGAAGTTAATTAGGTAACTTCAATTAATAAAGGTTTCACTCAACCCACTGCCTAAAATGAAACATCTGGTGGTCACTGTCAAGGTCCCAGACAGGCCAAGCAAAGCACAGGACTGGGAGAGAAGTGACCTGCCCAAGGTCCCACAACTGCACTTGCTCATATCAATTAGTGCCCAGACACCAGTTTTGTACATCCTATTGGGAAATTATCTTTAAACTAGTGGACGCCATTCTTACAGCTCAGTGAGAAAAAAAAAGTTGGGGGACCAGGAATACACAAGATTTGCAATTAGGTCTTCCTGACTCCAAGTTCAACACTACCCACTGTACCTGCCTAATCAGTACCTCAGGTGCACTAATCAATGGAGTTGTATGAGAAGGGTCCTACCAAGATGGCTAGATGGGTAGTGCCCCTGGTATTTCAGTCAGGAATGGAGTCCAACATAGTTCAGCTATTCAACCCTCCCTTCACTATCCTCTCCAACAGACCCAGGTATCTATGCACTTTGTGGGCAAGACAAATATATAAACCAACCATTTGAAAGTAAATTTATTCAAGGGACTATATTACACAAATGTAAACAAGAGACCTTTATTTTGGATCTTATCACCAAAAAATGGTTACCACAGTTTAGAACATAAACCATATCTTATAAGTTGCTCAGAAAATGAACTGGGGAAGAAAAGATGCTGGGTAAAGAAAGAGTATTAGGGAATGAGAAAAGATCAGAGTGAGGAATCTGAGAAGAAAGGTTAAGTCATTTTGAGACTACTAGAGGAGCCAAAGGATGGAAAAGCAGAGAAAAGCAAAAAAAAAGTCAAAATGGTTAGTTCATAATAACTCACTTTTGTTTGGAAGAACAAGTAAGGTTGTTTAAATCTTGAATGTCTACCTTAGAAGTCATTCAGCTATTTTGCCTGACAGAACAGAAGTCTTAGGGAATGGAAAATAAATGAGGTAGCCTGAGCAAATAATAACCTGATAATTTCAATTTATTTGGCCAGAAAAGTTGGTGGTGGCTCAGGTAGCACAATTAGGGGGAAAAGTACCAGCAGCTCTGTCTTTTATCTTCCCCATCCTTCCCACCCTACATACTCAAGTTACCAATACTAAATAAAGTAGTTAAGGGTTCAAGGGATTAAAGAGTATAGGAACTAGGTACCTGGACTCATATAAACCCTTTTTCCCAGGTACTAGGTTCACATCATACCTCCTCCCCATACCCCCCTGGAGGAGTCATATGAGAAACTATCCACCCAGCTTTCTGGAACACAACAAAGACATTTTCCTGACTTTTAAAACACAGTTCTTAAAAACTGTCATCTAAGTGCTATGAACTTTTGCCAGCCGTGCCCTAGATTTATCCAGTCTTGGAAACAAGAGTCCAGTGTCAGGTCCTAGTCTTCTCCCTTCAAAGGGACAAGGTTGCCCATAGTATCGAGGAAGGAAGCAGATGTCCCGAAGGCCCCTCTCAGTCTCAAAGATACCTAGCCGGGAAAGAAGCTTGTCAGCTAGTGCTGGGGTAACTGGCTGAAGCAATATCCCAAAGACTCGAAGGCACTCTAGTGTTACATGTAGTATTGTGTCCTGCCATTGAGCATCAGCCAAGTTTTCCCTGTTAAGCTTCCAAGGTGCATTCCGCTGCACAAAGCTGTTAGTCTGCCGGACACAAATGGACACTGCTTCCAAGGCCTTATAGATTTGAAAATTCTCGTAGTAGTTCTCCACATGTAGGGGCAAAGCTGACACTGACCTCACCAAAGCATAGTCCTCTGGCTGGGCCTTTGCTGGAGCCACGGTTACACCCTCCACAGAAGGGAAACAGGAGGGGCAGAATTCTGGGAAGATCCCAGTAGGATTCAGGCTAGTGGCGGTACATCGATTCAGGAGCCCCCCCAGTGCATCTGCCAGCTCAGCATCAAGCAACTTGACTACTTTCTTTTCATGGTAGTCACAGTCCCAGTTAGGGACACCTTGCCTTAGGAGGAAGTATCGAAAGCCATCCACAGAAAACCTATCCAAACAAGTCCAAGGATCAACCACATTGCCCAGACTCTTGGACATCTTCTGGCCATGTACTGTCCAGTGGGAGTGTACATATATGCGATGAGGGGGGGTCATCCCGGCTCCCAGGAGCAAAGCAGGCCAATAGACGGCATGAAACTTGAGGATGTCTTTGCCTATGATGTGGTGGGTAGTGGGCCACCAGACCTTCTGTTCCGAGTCAGGGTAACCTATGACAGTGAGGTAGTTGACCAGGGCATCGACCCACACGTAGATGGTCTGCACTGGATCACCAGGAACGGGGAAGCCCCAGTACAAATGGCTATTCCCCCGAGACACCGAGAGGTCTGGCAGGTCCTCCTCCAGCCACTGGAGGACAATGTGGCGGAAAGGTTCAGGAGTGATGGCCTGAGGGTCGTCCTGGAGCCACTGCCTGAGAGGCTCCCTGAACTGGGAGAGTCTGAAGATGTAGTTTTCCTCTTTCATCCAACAGACTGGATGCCCGCTCTCCAGGGCCACGGGGCGCCTTTCCCCGTCGGGGCCTGGGCGCCAGGTGACTTTGGCCTCGGGCAGGAAGCACTCGTCGGAGGCGCAGTACCAGCCCTCGTAGAGCCCCTTGTAGAGCAGCCCCCGGGCGCGCAGGACCCCCCAGAAGTGGTGCACGGCGCGCTGGTGCCGGGCCTCCGTGGTGCGGATGAAGTCGGTAACGGAAACGCCGGCCTCCTGGAAGAGCGCCCGGAACTGCCCGGACACCCGGTCACAGAGCTCCGACGGGGTCAAGCCCGCCGCGGCGGCCGCCTGCTGGATCTTCAGCCCGTGCTCGTCGGTGCCTGTGGAGAAGCGGACCAGGGGGGCGGCGGGGCCCGGGCCCGGCGGGGGCTTGGCCCAGAGGCGCCGGTAGCGGGCCAGCGCATCGGCCAGCAGCGCCGAGTACAGGTGTCCGATGTGCGGCGCCGCGTTCACGTAAAAGATAGGGGTCGTGAAGTAGGCGCGGCCGTCCCGGGCACGCCGGGGGCCGGAGCGCCCTTCGCCATCGCCGCCGCCGTTACACCAGCCGCGGCTCCCCAAGGCAGAGACCCGCTGCAGGGGCCTCCGCAGGACTGAGTGCCCAAGACCCCGCAGCACGGCCCGAAGCATGGGCAGAGCCAAGGGCGCGCCCGCTAAACAAGTCTGAGCTGACACCGGCATGGAACAAGCCGGAGTAAAAACACGGCGCATGCGCTCACTCCGCCCACCCAGGACCAGCCAATCGCAGACCAGCGCGAGCCCAGCGCGCGAATACGCTGACGTCGTCCCGCCCCTACCGGAAGAGCCGTCCCGATGCTGTAGCGGCAAAAAGCGGAGGGCATGCGGAGGGATTGGTCCTGGCCGCCGTCAGGGTGCCGGCAGCCGGGTCAGATTTGCCCGAGCGGGGCATAGAGCCGTGTGAGCCGAGGCTTAGAGCCGCAGGGGAGCTCCGCGTTCTCTCTGACAGATGAGGTGAAGGGAAAGTCGGGGGAAAGGTTTTTCGTCTTTCCACCAGACGCCTTGGGTGAGCGAGTGAGCTTGGGTTTTTAATAAGAAGAATGACCTGGAGGTGGAGGCGCCCACGGTGCTCGGCCGCGGTGCAGCGGCGCGCTTCCGCGTAACGCCCCTTCACACAGCCCTCTGGCCCTCGTGACCACCCCTGCGAGGTCCCTGCAGTTATCCCATCTTACCGATGAAGGAACCGAGGCGCAGTAAGATTAAGAGATTTGCCCCGAGTGTTCCTGTTAATATCATCCCCGTTTTATAGAAGAAGAAACCGAGGTCCGGAAGAGATCATGTGACTTGCCCGGTCACCCAGCTGGCTAGTGTTTAAAGCGGAATTAGAACCGAACTCCCAAATCCAGCACTTTTTCCACTTGCATTGCTGCCATAAATACTAGAGAATACTGGTGGGCGGATTTTTTTTAAATTTTCTTTTCAATTATCATGTACTGGACAAACATGAACATTTTTCTTATACAAAAAAAAGGACTGCATATCAATAACAGCCGATATTTGTATAGCACCTTCACATTTATTTTTATTTGTTTATCGATTGATTTATCTCCAAGAGGCAGCTAAGCGGCTAAGTGAACAGAGCCCTGGGCTTGGAGTCAGGAAGACCAGAGATCAAATTCAGCCGCAGATGCATTCTAGCTGTGTGACCCTAGGCAAATCATTTAACCCTCTGTTTGCCTCGGTTTCCTCAGCTGTAAAAAAGGATAAATAATAGAACGTACCTTCTTACACAACAGCCCTGTGTTGTGAGGATCAAATGAGGTAATGATTGTAAAGCTGGCACATAAGCTATATAAATGTTATCTATTATTATTTAACAGAAGAGAGGGGTTAAGTGACTTGCCCAGGGTCAAACAGATAAAAATCTGAGGTACAGTTTTTAACTCAAGGCTTGCCGACTCCAGGTCTAGCACTGTCTCTATCCACCTAAATGCCTCAAGCTCCAAATCTTCTACTTGAGGCTTTTTGTTTGTCTTTATTTTTCAAATTTGACATCATTCTTCAAAATATCACTCTCATGTTCTGTTTCCATTCTGAACTTTCATCTGTTTTTTTTAAATGATTTATCTCTGTTCTTTTCTTTTTGTTTTCCCACCTTTTTAAAGCAGCACTCACTAATCTCTTATTCCCCTTAATACGGCTTCCTGATTACAATCCAGAGTGTCAGCCCTCAGGGGCAGCTAGGTGGCACAGTGAATAGAGTACCGGCCCTGGAGTCAGAAGCACCTGAGTTCATATGTGGCCTCAGGCACAACACTTAACTAGCTGTGTGACCCTGGGCAAGTCACTTAACCCCACTGCCTAGCAAAAAAAAGAAAAGTGTCAGTCCAAAATATATATACTGATCAACTCAAAAAGCTGCTCATCAAGCTGCATGTGATGTCATTGAAATACTGGATTATAATAGCTCACATTTAAATATCACTTAAAGATTTACAAAGTGCTTTCCTTATAATAACTCTGTGAGGTAAATAGTGTTATTGTTCTCCATTTCAATGTAACCCAACTTTAGACATTAGTCAGCTGGGTGACTGGGCAAGTCACATGATCTCTTCCGGACCTTGGTTTCTTCCTCTATAAAATGGGGATGATATTAACAGGAACACTGGGGGCAAATCTCTTAATCTAACTGCACCTCGGTTCCTTCATCTGTAAAATGGGATAACTGCAGGGACCTCATTGGTATGAGACTCTCTCCTCTTTGGGGGAAATCAGTGTCCTGCACTGTTTAAGGACCCAGTGGGGTTGGGTAGGAGCCAGACAGAGGAAAGCTCCAGGCTTCTAGTTTCTTTCTGTAGGAAAGACTATCCTTTGTTATATTCTTCCCTGACCCGTATCAGTTTCTGGAAGCTGCATGTGGAGGGATCTCACCAAAGGGGAAGTTCCTCTGAGGCACTAGTATAGCAAACTGGGGTTGGTGACATGATGGAGACTACCAGCTCCTCTCACAGCAGCTTCTTCCCAGAGTCTTTTCCTTAAGCAAACTCAATCACACGGGGTTGGGAAAGGCCATCATTTCTTTCAAAGCTGGAAACTAGAAGTGCCCAAAGTGATTGTAGAGGCCAAAGAGAGTTGAAGCAAGTTCAAAGACTTGAAAAGACTTTGAGCTCAGGAGACCAAACCTCTCCTCTCCTATTCTGGATGACTGTGCCCAGCCCCTCACATAGACAGGTGCAGGGCATTAATCTCCACCAATGAGGAGAGAGTCCAAGACCAATGAGCTCTGGGATTCAAGTTATACACATTAAGTGAGAAAAGATGGAGACCAAGACAAGTGAAGTGATTTCCCTATGCTCACAACTAAAAAGCACTGAAACTGTTATTTGAGCCCAAAGCTCCTGGCCCCAAATCCCAGACAACTTTTTTTACACTATACTACCTGATTAAAATATATAAGCAGAATTTTCATATATTGCTAAATTTCATGTGTTGCTCCCTAAATAATTTCTGAAAATTGAAACCAGAAGAGTTTTGTTCAAGTATTTAATACAACTCTCAAAGGCCAAAGCAATATTCGTTTTTACCACTGCCAGTTATTAGTGAAGGAACAGACACACAGAATCACAATTTCATTTGGGAGGGATCTAATAAGCCATTTAATCCAGTCAATACTCAAAAATTCCTCTCTAGTACCACCCACAAGTGATCTTTAGGCCTCTGAAAACCTGTATTTGAGGCAGCTGGGGGTGAAATGGAGGGAACCCACTACCTCAATAAATGCAAATTTAGTCTAAATTGAAATCGAAGATCCTATCTTTTCACTGTCCAATTCAAGTCTGACCTGTTCAGTGAGATATTCTCTAACTCTACCAGCCCACAATAATCTCTTACTGGATAGCACATGTCTATGCCATCCATTTAGCAATTATCTAGCATATGTAGTTATTTTTCTTTATATAATAGTTCCTGTATCACCAAATCAACTATACAGGCCTCTAGGGTAGGAACTAAGTCTTAGACAATTCAACAGATACACATTAAATATTAAACCTGTTAAGTTCCCTAATTTCACAGAGAATTTTCAACATTGAATTTCACAATTCCGTGAAAAGGACCTTATAAATCAACCTTTTCATTTTATACTTTAGGAAACAAGCTCAGAGGTGTCAAGTAATTTGCCCAAAGTCCCAAGGCTAGTTTGCTGGTAGAACCAGCACTAAAAATGATGCCTTCTTGACATTTTATCTAGAAATTAGTGGATATTGTACCTGTCCTGACTAGGATTTAAAAGAGAGGCAGCATGATATGCAAAGTGATTTCCCAGCTTTTTGGAATAAATTCTTTTTTAACCTCTGGTTTTTTGTTTTGTTTTTTAATGTGGTCACCTCCCATAGACATAGCGATTGTCATGTTAATATCTGTGTATTGAGAAAATACAGGATGACTATGATGGCTTAGCAGAGTGCTGGACTTTGAGTTAAAAAGACCTAAATTCAAATCCACACATACTAGTTCTGTGATTTTGAGGAAATCATTTAACTTTTCTCAACCTCAGTTTCTTCATCTCTAAAATAGAGATAATAGGATCCTGTAGCACCTACCATATAGTGCTGTTGTGGGGATAAAATAAGATAATGCATACAAAGCAAAACACTAAAGTACTAGACTGGATGAACCAGAAGTGTAATTTTAAGCTATTAGAGTTTTTAAAATGCACTAAGACTTTTGGGATATCCTCTATAATGGCAGTTAATACTAATAATAATAGTATCTGCATATTTTGAAAAACAGTAATACATATGTCATGAGTTTTAATCATTCTAGAAAAAGCATATTTGCTTATTAAACAAAATTAAACAAAATTATCAAACTTAATATTTTAGAGCTAATTAAATATTAACATGACAGTGTACTTATGGATTTGTAGATGCCTCGAAAATAACTCTGAGACCTCCCAGGTATCTACATGTTCAGAACCACTGGTATAGTAGAAAAAAAAATTGAATCTGAAGTCAGAGGACCTGGGTTCAAATCCCAGTTCTGCTACTTTCTTCCTGCATAACCTAGCTTGAATGATTTAATTTCTCTGCATTCCAGTTTTCTCACCTCCTAAATGAAGAGGTTGGACTGAATTATCTCTAAGTAAGATCCTTTCTAGCTCTAAACTTGTTACTAGAAGTAAAGTGGACACTAGTAGTAACATTCCTTTATTACTGTAATAATAAATGACATATAGAAAGCCTTAAAATTTGCAGAGTGCTTCACACACGTTACCTCACAACTCTGTGAGGTAGATACTATAGGTATTATTATTATTGCCATTTTACAGATGAGAAAACCAAGGCTCAGGACAGTTAAGCAACTCCCCCATGGTCACATAATTAAGTAAATGTCAGAGGCAGAATTCAAATCCAGGTTGAGAGATTTTATTGATACTATTTATATTTTAAAACACTGTCATTTTCTGGTAATCCCTCCCACCCTAGAATCATCTCTTAATAATAATGAAAAACATTAAGCAAAACAAACTGGCAAATCAGCTATATCTGAGAGATGTTCAGCAATATTCCCACCCCACCCTCCCAACTCCTGACCCACACTAGTCCACCATCTCTCTACTGAGAGGAAAATGTGTTTCATCATCAGCTCTCTGGAACTGATTAGACATTGTATATAGTCTGAATTCTGATGTACATTGTTTTTTAAATTTATATTACTGTAAC